CAGGGAGCCCGATGCGGGACTCGATCCCGGGACTCCAGGATCATGACCTGAGCCGAAGGCAGTCGCTTAACCAACTGAGCCACCCAGGCGCCCGTGAAAACAATTTTTATATGTTATCTGTTTTAATCTTCCTGATAATATTTGCTGAAGGTATTAGTATTATCACATGCAATTAAAAATAAAGGGTAATTAAGGGGTGCCTGGGTGGCTCGGTCGGTTAAGTGTCTGACTTTTGATTTTGGCTCAGGTCGTGATCTCAGGGGTGTGAGATCAAGCCCTGCTCTGGGCTCCTCACTGGGTGTGGAGCCTGCTTAGGATTCTCTCTCTCTGCCCCTCCTCCCCAACTCTCTCTCTCTCAAAATAAATGAATAAATGAATGAATGAAGGATAGCTAATCCTCACTTGTGAACAAATCTAACTTAAATGCAACAAGATGTTATAATATTACTATTCCAAAGGAATAACCAAAGTTGTAACTAGGTCACTTGATTCCTAGGTAATCAAACATCTCGAATGCCTAATGAAAAGTGCAGCTCAACTGCAATTTAGCATCAAGTATTAGTCCTGAATACTAGGCATGCTCCCTTGAGACCGTGTCTTTGGTGCACTCTGGGCTCAGAGCATGTGGAGAGACTGCACTGGCTATCTCCTGGTCCGGATGCAGTTGGGACTGGGCCACCAGATGTTAGATGGTTGCCACAAATCTTTCTAGAAGAGAGTGACACGTTCATTCACGAGGGAACTGGGTGAGGCAACTAAGTCCTGGACTAGGAGTCTGCGTGGCCAGATTTGTGCCCAGCTCTTCTACTTGCTGTTTCACTTGGGGCAAATCAAGGCCCTGACTGCAATCACAGTCCCTCCAGGGCTGTGAGAACTTGTTACACGGGAAAGCGTAACCCGTTGTTGAGAGAATAGAAAGTATGTATGCTGGTCTCTGCCCCCCGGTTCCTGGCACAGAGCTCTTGAAGCCCTTGTAATTTCTAAGTGATAAGAACATTAGCAGCATCTCTTGGCCTATTTGTTTTTGACCCTATCCCTGACAAAGAGCTCCTAAAACCCCTGTAAATTCTTACATGTTAAAAGCACTAGGAGCATCTTTTGTTCCACTGAGGTGACTCTGGGTGGGACCTCTAATGGCCCCTGGAAAGACTAAAGCACACTCAGAACCTTGGAATTTCCAGTCCCATCCCTCATCCTACAGAGAGGGGAGAGGGGCTAGAAATGGACTTAATAACTGATCACGCCTACGTGAGGCAGTATCCATAAAATCCCAATAATATGGGGTTGAGAGAGCTTCCAGGTTGGTGAACACATGCACACCGGAAGGGTGAAGCACCCCAAGTCCACAGGGACAGAAGCTCCTGTGCTTGAGACTCTCCTAGACCTCACGCCATATATCTCTTCATCTGGCTGTTCATCTGTATCCTCTATCCTTGAATTCTGTGAGCTATGCTAGTGAATTATCCAACCCAAGGGTTGCTACAACCTCCAGTCTATATAGCAGGTTGGTGAGAAGCACAAGTGATAGTCTGGAAAGAGAGAGAGAGAGAGAGAGAGAGTGTGCTGGGGGGGAGGGTCTTGTGGGACTGAGCCCTTAACCTGTGGGATCTGACACTATGTCTGACTGTCAGAATGGAGTTGAACTGTTGTATACCCAGCTGGTGTCTCAGAGAATTGCCTGTTGTGGGGAAAACACCCCCCACACTGGTGACCACACATGTCAGAAGTGTTCTGTGTGAGCAGTAAAGGAGACATGCAGGGAAGAGAAACACAGTAAAGAAGAACTGGGTTTTCTTTCACCCACACAAGTGAAAAACTACAGTTTCTTCCATTTATACCTGTCAATCAAGATGAAAGTGTAAGCTGTGATTATTCTGAAAACATCACTAAATACCTATGTATCAGGAAGCTGGCAACTTTTCCAATTATCTTTTTTTTTCCTTTCATATTCCTTGTATGAAAAGCAGACAGACAGGTGGAAATTTCAGTGTTCTCATTGGTAAAGGCCCCAGGACTTAAAAGCTAAGCTACCCTCAGCCTGTGGAAGCTGTGGGACACTGTGGCCGGCCAGTTTGCAAGGGGCCAGCATGAACCAAGACACGCTCCCCCACAGCCCCAGCCCTACCTTCCTGGATGCTGTTCTGCAGGTGGTTGACAATGGCTGCCAGGATAGTGGAGAGACTCATGACCTGGGCACACTGGGCCAGGCCGAGGGTGAAGAGCTCGTTCCAGCAGGCCCGCACCAGGCTGGTGTTGCAGTCCTGCCTGAGGACACAAGGTCGGGGTGGGTGTGGGTACATGCTGGTATTCTCCAGGCCCCAGCTTGCTCCAAACAAGTAGATTCAACAAGCATTTCTTGAAAGTCTATGGTATGTCCAGGATCATTCTCCAAAAATACCACTGTCTGTGAATCTCTTAACTGAAGTCCCTCTGAGGATAAACTATTTTCTTAACAAAGACACTTTAGACTTCAGTAATGAGAAATCGAGATGGGTATGACTAAAGTGTCATCTCCTACAGCCCTCTAAACCCACAGTAGCCCTGGCGTGGCTGTTAGAGATGCTGCAGCGACCCAAAGGCTAGGAGCTGAGTGTGGCCTCTGACACAGCCTGCACCTATGCTCAAGGACAGAGGGCCTGTGAGCCCTGCCGGGGAGGGGCCGGCACTGGCACGCAGAGAAAGGGGCCAGCCACGCCAGCTTTCAGCCCTGCCTCGGACGATTTATACTCAGGATGGCCTCTTTGGCGCACTGTGAACGGTATGACTTTATCTGAGAAGCCCCTAGATGCAGCCTCACTCTCCTTGTCTCAAGATTTCAGACAACTCCTGCCCTCTGTTCCACTCCATCCCTGGCTCTCAGCACCAAGTCCTCAGCATATGGAGAAGGCCTGAGAGAAGTTGAGGAACACTGAAGCACTGGCCGCCTTGGTCCTCTGCTCCCAGTCCACAGAGTGTATTTAATAAGAAAATCAGGGTCACTGGAGCAAGGTCCTAGGTGCAAACTAGAAGGGCCCTCAGATACCTTCCAGGCCATTCCTAACAAGGAGAAGGCTCTTGCCGAAGGATACACACAGAGAAAAAGGCCACTTACCCAAGTGCCTGAAAGGCTGGGATTGACCTGGCCCAGTGCATGGAGAGGAAAAGCAGGCGGGATGCTGACTCGCAGATGTAGTGCACGTTGAGGTACTCTGGCATCGGGCTGGGCATCGTGAGCTGGAGAGGAGGAGGCACACAGCACAGGAGGTGACGGAGAGACAGGGCATGCCTTTGTCTGTCAACGTGAACTGCTGTCACGTCTCAACAACTATGAGAGCCTGAGCTGTGATGATCTCTGATGCTGAAGTTCCTGTGTAGACCCATCCTTATGAAGCCCGTGTCCTTTGCAGCGGGGGGCTGGCACCAACGCCCCATAATCTCTTGCCCAGTGAACTAGGCTCTGATGGCACTTGGAATGTGGTCAATGATGGTGACCTCCCAGGTCACTCACACAGACATACTCTTCAACTCTTGCCTCAGCTAAACTGGTATTTCTTCTAAGGCAATTCCATTTTGAGCCATAGGTTAAAATCTAAATTAAATCAGTTAACAGCGATCAACCTCATGGCTAGAAGGCATTTGGTAGGTGGCCTCAGGGTAGCAATGAGTGAGAGCTGAACAGAAGCCTATGTGGCGGGAGGATGAGACCCCACCACCAGAATGTTCAGGAGTGGGCTCCAGAGCTCCACTGTCCAGAAGAATTAATGCCTTTGATGCTGGAATCCCACTGGTGACCTATATTCTTGGCACTGGTGGGCAACTATGAGCAGGGACCCAGTCTTCCTAAGTGATTGGTCAGGACTCTCTAGTAAAGAACACTGGGGGAACAGGAAGACACAGTCTGTAGCCCTAGAAACTGAGAGGGCTTTGGGGAACCTGGGATTGTCTTTCAGAAGTGAGGCCAGTGAAGGAGTATGTGGGGAAGACTAACAGCCTTGCCTTCTTCAAGGATGTAGGAGGTCTGTTTTCTGTGGCTCGAGACAGCAAGCAGTCAGGACCAGTGGTTAGGAATGAGGGCTGGCTGCCTGCATGCTGGAGCGGACACAGGTGCCTGCCTATGCTGGAGCCAGGCCATCCCAGAAAGCAGAAGAGGCAGAGTAGTCCACTAAAAGCCCTCGATGGGCAGCACCATGTCGGCCCCACCTGGCAAGGATAGGCCACACTTGCTTCAGGGTGAGTTACCTTCAGAGCCAAAACACTGTGTGTAAAACATGAGTGACAATTCTTTCTAATGAGAATACTGTTCTGGAACACAAGGTCCAGATCCAAACAAAAGCCAACAATATGAAAATGAGCTCACTGCAAGATTTTAGCTTCAAACTGCAGGCTGGGGAGGCTGGGGCATGTGATTAGGCTGAATGCACTCACCTTAAATGTGACATGAGTGTCTGAAAGGAGGGGCCCTTCGACCTCGATGATGGGTGTGGACTGGTCTCTGCTGATGACATGGATGCCCCCTCCACCACTGGCATCTATCCCATCTGCTAGGCTTGGAGGTGAGGAGCTGTCTGTGGTATTAAGTGCTTTAGCTAAAGTATCAAATGCCCTGTAAGCAAAAAGGAAGCAGGCAGTGTTGTGAATCCCCAGCTTTCAGGAGGAACAGAACTCTAGCTGAGACCTAATCTAGAAAAACAAGGCGATAGGGAAAAGATCATTCAAGTCTACCTGCTGGGGGAAGGGATAACGAGAGCTTCTGTGTACGGTCTATACATCATCACGGGCACTAAGCGATATAGTATTTATTTTCACACATAATTTCTATTTTTCACAACTACTCTCCAAGAACCCTCTCCGTTTTACAGATGTGAAAGCTGAGGCTTAGGGATGTTAAATAACTTTTCCAATACCAACCACCCAGTGAGTGGTGGAACCAGAACTCTACCCAACTCGAATCCCATTCTCTTTCCACTGGATCTAGATCTTAATTTTGCTATCAGGCTGCAAGAGAATATGAGGACCAGGTGCTTGTGTGGCCTGGCAAGATGGGCAGGAGTGGCCAGTCCCACAGGGAAGGGGCGAACATGAGAGCCAGGTCGTAGGGAAGAAACGCTGTCTGCAGCCCGTTACGGGTGTCTGGGATCAGCTAATGCCGTCTGTCAGGAACACCCCGATGGACTGAAGCTGTAGACTACTTGGAAAAAAATATACATGAGAAAAATAGACTAAAACAGAAGTGGGAAAGTGGACGAACTACTAATACTTAGTCAAAATAAAGACTGATACAAGTAACACCTGTCTACTGAAGGGTTTTCCCTGCTTCCACTGAATCACTCCATTTCCTTTTTCATTGTTTGGAATGAAAAGCAGTTTTGATTGCTTTATATCATGTAATATAAATGGGTCCATGTTCCCATAGTTAAAATGTGGAAGAAGACAGATGTGCAGGAACACTGTGACGATTTTACAATCCCTGAATAAATACAGGGTGGGTGTCAAATGCTGCCACCTGCCCTCCCGCAGCAACAACTGAGTGTGCACGTCATGGGGGAGCCCCCACACTCATGGCATCATACCGAGTAATCTCACTTGCAGACTGGTCCTCCGGCTGCATTTCCGAAGTGTCACCATTGTTCAGGGATTCACTTAAGTTGGCAAGGGAGGTTACTACATTTGCCAGTGTGCCCAGAGCTCCCTGGCTTGTTTCAGCCTATTAAACACAAAATAAGAACATTAAAGATGAACACAAACACACACACAAAAGGCTCTCAGGCCAATGAAGGTATAATGTTAGTTTAAAAACAGCCTCTATGGGGGGCGCCTGGATGGCTCAGTCGTTAAGCGTCTGCCTGCGGCTCAGGTCATGATCCCGGGGTCCTGGGATCCAGCCCCGCATCGGGCTGCTCCCTGCTCCGCGGGAGGCCTGCTTCTCCCTCTCCCTCTCCCCCTGCTTGTGTTCCCTCTCTCGCTGTGTCTCTGTCAAATAAATAAAAAATCTTAAAAAAAAAAAAAATAAAAAAATAAAAACAGCTTCTATGGGGTGTGACCTCAACAGGGCAGCAGGGGGGAGATCTTTTTGGTGATGGAAGAGTTCTGTGTCTTCATTGTGGTGGTAGTTACACAAATATACACGTAATAAGGTAATGGAACAAAAGACAAACTGGACATCACCAAAATTTAAACTTTTATGCTTCAAAAGATACTAAGAAAGTTAAATGGGGCGCCCCTGGCTGGCTCAGTGAGTGGAACGTGTGACTCTTGATCTCAGGGTTGTGAGTTTGAGCCCCATGCTGGGTGGAGAGATGGCTTAAAAATAAAATCTTAAAAAAAAAAAAGCCATTAAGAAAGTAAAAAGACAACCCCCCCTTTCCACACACAAAAGATAACCCACAGAATGGGAGGAGGTATTTGCAAATCATACATCTTATATAATAATGGTTTAGTAGCCAGAATATCTAAAGAACTCTTACAGTTAATAATAAAAAGACAAATGAGTTAAAAAAGAATGGGCCAAGGATTTAAACAGACATTTCTTCAAAGAGGTATACAAGTGGTCAATAAGCACATGAAAGGATGTTCAACATCAATGGAAATGCAAATCAAAACCACAATGAGATACCACCTCACACCCAACAGGAGTTATAATCAAAAAGACATAATAACAGGTGTTGGGAGGATGTGGAGAAAGTGGACCCTCTCACACACTGCTGGTGGGAATGTGAAATGGTGCAGCTACTGTGGAAAACAGTCTGGCAGCTCCTCAAGAAGTTTAAACACAGAGTTACCATATGACCAGCCATTCCACTCCTAGGTACATACATAAGAGAAATCGAAACGTATGTCCACAAAAAAACTTGTACGCAAATGTTTGTAGCAGCACTATTCATAATAGACAAAAAGTGGAAACAACCCAAATGTTCGTCAGCTGATGAATGGATAAATAAAATGTGGTTCTGCCACTCAATGGCTTAGTATCTGGCAAAAAAAAGGAATGAAGTGCTGATACATGCCAGAACATGGATGAACCTCGAAAACAGTATGTCAAGAGAAAGAAGCCAGTCACAAAAAGCCATATATTGAAAGATTCCTTTTATATGAAATGTCCAGAATTGACAAAACCATAGTCAGAAAGTAGAGTAGCGGTTGGCGGGGGCTGGAGCAGGGGGAGAGGGAAGTGATGGCTTAATGGGTGCAGGGCTTCTTTTTGGGGTGATGAAAATGTTCTGGAATCAGGTAGTGGTGATGGTTGTACAGCCTTGTGAATGTACTAAAACCACTGCACTGTACACGAAAAGTGTGAGTTTTCTGGTACATGAATTAGATCTCCATAAAAAAAAAATAGGAAAGCCAAAGACATATGCAAACAAATAAACCAAGACAGGTAGACACAAATGTGAAAAACTAGAGCAGTGGAAAAGATCCTAAGCAGAGCACTGCTTTATACATCACAGAACAACCACATAACAGAGTATCGTGCAGCTGCTGAAAGATGCGGGCCGACACGTCAGAGAGAAAGAGAAAGACCAGTCGGCCCGCACTGCCCGGGTGTCGGCCGGGGGCGCCTGGGATCTCTGTGAGAGCTCTGTTATTTAGTCAAAGTACACTGTTTTGAATTTTAATAATTTAAAAGTAGAAGGTTTAAAAAACAGCTTCTGGGCACCTGGGTGGCTCAGTCGTTAAGCGTCTGCCTTCGGCTCAGGTCATGGTCCCAGGCTCCTGGGATCGAGCCCCGCATCGGGCTTTCTGCTCAGTGGGGAGGCTACTTCTCCCTCTCCCTCTGCTGCTCCCCCTGCTTGTGCTCTCTCTCTTTGTGTGTGTGTCAAATAAACAAATAAAATCTTAAAAAAAAAAAAAAAGGCGCCTGGGTGGCTCAGGTCATGATCCCAGGGTCCTGGGATCAAATCCCACATTGGGCTCCCTGCTCTGCGGGAAGCCTGCTTCTCCCTCTGCCTCTGCCTGCTGCTTTACCTACTTGTGATGTCTTCTCTCTGTTCCAAATAAATAAATCTTTAAAAACAAAAACAAAAAAGAGCTACCTTTAGGAGCTTTGTCTATATCCTATTATTCATGACACACGCCTGGGGTGGGTACGGTCACTTCCAGAGCACAGAGGAAGGAGCGGGGTGGAAGCGTGGGTCTGACTCTGCAGCTCTTGCTCGTCACAACTACTTAAATACCACACAGTGCCTGTGTCCGTTCTCTTCCGTCCTGTGACCACGACTAACTCCTCATTTCCTGAGTGCTCACTGTCTGCTGCAGGCTTTATGTAAGTAACTCACTCAAGTTTGCCAGCACCCCCTGTGTGGCGGTCCTGAGGGAAGCAGGGATGTAGGAAAGAGGGCACACGGCTACCAAGAGTGGCGCTGGGCTCTGGACCCAGGGCCAGCCGACTCTGGAGTCTCTTGGTTCTCAGTCTCTGCGTGGACGGCACGACACAAGAGCTGCTGGGAAATCCTTTGGTAATCAGGTCTTAAGGTCACCCGGGCCTTCCTTCAGGCTTCTAGTTTCTCTCCACCCCGCCACGCATCCATCACTGTCCTGAGTGTCTACCGGATGACAGCAAGCCAGGTGTGATGGCCATGTCGCACGCAGCACCAGGGCCCAGAGAGAAAGCTCGAGGCCCAGCCTCAGGACCATGGGATGGAAGGCCACTTTTGGTGCCAGCCAAGAGCTCCCACTGATGCCTTTCTTTCCCGAGAGAGGATGTTCCTCATGTACTGAGTGGGCACAGCGATGTGCACGTGGACGGACGAGAAGGAAGCCTGCGGGTAGCGCCGCCCTGGCTCAGGGCAGTGGCTCCACCAGCACCGTTACCAAGTCCCTCCTTTTGGAGAAGGAAAACTGGAACTCAGCCATGGCTTGCTGCTACTTCATCATTACTGGGTCACATCAGAACGAGATGGGAAACAGAATCAATTTTCTTGCCTGGATAAAACCCGTCCCTTAGGTATCTTCATGGGGGTTAGCCAGCTTTCTTGCTCTCCTGACTGACAAACACCTCTGTTCACAACACGTTAAATTCCCTATGGCTGATTTGCTCTTAGTAGTTTTGCAATTGTCAGAATCCTGCCTCAACTTCCTCCTGCAGATCATCTAATTAAAAAGAGTGGGGTGGGGGTGGATAATGTAACACTGTGTCAACCATGCTTCAATTAAAAAAAAAAAAAGGAACTAATAAGTAGGCTTTTGCAAAAGGCCATCTGAGGATAAGCAGCCATTTCCCCAGCACACCAGTAGTTTGCTAATTCGTGTACTGGGGTGGGGTGGGGGTAGTTATTGAGATGAGAGCCACTGAATTTTCACCAAACTGAACTCTAGATCCTGACATGTCATAATGACTATAACCAGCCAGCCCCGAGTTTCTGGAAAGCTGTCAACATCCCTAAAACAAATCATAGGATGGCTGTATAAGAAATAAGAGATGTAGAAGGCCATGCTTTCAAGGTAGTATCAGAAGGCCAAGAAGAAGGTGGGTGCACAAATTTAGAGAAGCAGTGTGCACTGCAACATAAAGGTGGAGGAGAAGGCATAAGTAGAGAATATCACCTTGGAATCCGTGGCCAGGAGAACTGTACCATCCTCACGTATCAAAGGCTGTTGGATGTTCACAAGCATCCCTGGATCAAGAAGACCTGTTTGTCTATTTAAGACATAAAGAAACCCAGAGTAGCTTCCAACATTTAACACACAGTATGATCATGCTGCATTGCCCTGTCCCTTCTACATCTGCAAAACTGCCTGAATAGCAGAAAAGCTCTAACTAGACTCAGCCAATCGAGTGACTGAACCACACCCCCCTTCTCTCTAGAATGAGATGAGTACAAAGCTGGGCCTACAGCCTGAGATAGGATGCCACACAGATACACATCCCTTTGGCTTCCATGCAGACCTCAGACTGTGGCCGCTTTGTCAAATAAAGTTAACTTGATCTTCAGAATATCACCAAGGAATTCTCAACTCTAGTTCTCACTAGGATACAGTTTGGATTTCTTGTTTTCCCTTTCTGTTCCTTTTAAATGAAGTTCGATACATCACATGGGGAAAAAAAGACATAAGTTAACTTGTGTTAACTATTTGGGACTACCCGGGGACTTAGGGCTTTGGTCTATACTGCAGAAAAACCCCATCTTGAATTGCAGAGCAGTGTATGAATAACTATAGGACATAACCCCGAGGCAGGAGAAAAACCCCATCTTAAATCAGCCATCCTCGGGTCTGTCCACAGGCGTGACTGAAGCAGCTCCGAAAAGGGTGGGATGAGGCAAGACAAGGCTGAAGGCTGTGGCAGCGGGGAAGGAGCCACATAAGCTCCTTCCAAGGAATATCCACGCTTCCTCTAATCAGCTCAAAGGCTGATGGTAGTGTTGCCCTTTGTCAAAACAGGGACTGACCTTGCTCCGTCTTTATCTGCCACAAACGTGGGAGTGGCTATCAGAGGACTTCTCAGGTCCTTCCGGATATAGATTTTCTCAGTTGAAGCAGCACAATTGCTTGGTTTCTCCCGTTGCACATCAAAGGGCTTCCGTTCACTCTGCACAGCTTAAATCACAACGTAAATATTCAGGTTTAGACGAAGGAGTCAAGTCATTAAAAACTACATCCTTTGTAGTAAAGTTAGGGATCTTCCTTAGTAAGCCTGCTACTATAGGGATGATAAGCTCCAGTGCTAGGCACATCCAGCTCAATTTTCAGGGGACTTTTCAGCCAAAGCAAAGAAAAGCTCAAAGCCAAACAATGCCATGCTAAGTCTAAAGAGTTCAAGCTCACTGCCTGCTAAGAAACTTCAGCATGGCATTTGCATGGCCTTGTGGGGGGCCCACACTGAGCTTTCTGGGTTTTCACTTTTTGCTGCTCACAAAAGGCAGTCTCCAGGAAGAGAAACACCCATCTTCAAGTGGGCCCTTAACAGAGAGCTTGTCCAACGCATGTGTCATAGAGAATTTTTCTAATGTCCAACTCAAGCCTGCATGGCTTCTGCAAACTGTTCAATGGGGTGTCAGTTTTCTGTAACACTAGCAGTCTCTCCCTTCAGCAGTCTGGTCTGAGAGACGTATACGGGCCAGAAACAACTGAAGGAAATAAAGATCTTTTTAAAAGAAAGAAAGGATGAACCCCAGATCCAATATGTAAGAAAGCTAAGGGGTCCTATTTAGACAAGGAACCTGTGGCTGAGAGAGGTGCCATGTCTTCCCCAGGCCTCACAGCTCCGAAGTGGCAGGGCTGGGGTTTGATACCCCAAAGCCTGTGTTCACCCCACTGCGCTGTGCTGCGTGCCGAGTTAACTGGAAGAGGTTTCCACACACACCATGGGGAAATGACCAATCACAGCAGCATGGGCACTGGATCCCCTGGCTGCCCCAGAATGGAAACAAAAGGAAGCCTCGGTGGATATTTTCCTCTTAGAGTATTTTAAAGCCAGGTAGAGAACTCTCGCTTTCTCCCAACCTGCTAACTCAAGTGGCTTGTTCGTGTACAGTTACTCACACTCCATCTTCATGCCCATCTCTAAGCATTTTTTCAGCCGGCAAAACTGACAGCGGTTCCGGTGGTGTTTATTGATGATACAGTCTTGGTTGCTCCGGCAACTGTAGGTCAGATTTTTCCTTACACTCCTTTTGAAGAAGCCTTTGCAACCTTCACAACTGACAGCCCCATAGTGCCGGCCTAAAAGGGGAAAGTGTGTGTGAAACAGATCACCAAGAGAAGAGCTGATCCCTCACAGGCCCTGTGTCTAAGGTAAGGCTATCAAAGTAACTGGTGCACAGTGTCCGGTGCCGGCAGCCACGGCACAACCACGAGCCTGAGCATGAAGCACGGCACTGAGGTTCTTCGCCTAATTTTCCTATAGTCTTTAAAGTAGCCCTGTGATGTCATGATAGAAAAACAGAAGCTCAGACAGGTTACATGACAGCTGGTATATGGCGTGACCTTAATGCTTTTAGCACACGAAGGACCTAACATGCAGCAGCAGCTCACGGAGGACGGCTGAGCCATCCCGCCCACTGTGCACACCTGCTCCTGGCTCCAGAGCTGGGCTGTGAAGCCACTCGGCACTCCTGTCCTGCCGACGGTGGCACGCAGCAGAAGCATGCATGAGCTGCTTGAGCACAAGGGCCCTACTCCTCCCTGTACTCCCTCGGTGTGAGTCACGTCCTGGGCCCTACAGCTACCCTGGGGGAAGCGCAGGGCTGTGCTTATGTAGGCCCAAGGTGAAGGAAGGGTGCATGCTGTGTGGCTCACCTGGATTAGGTATTCAGACTCTTCTGGAAACACAGTTCTAGAAGTACATTTATTACATACAGTTCTTTTTTCCTAATCTTGTTTACTTTGGTGTCTCTAACTTCTAATGACCGATGACATTAAAAAGAGCCCCGCATCTCAGTTTACCCTTCCAAATACACCAAGCGCTTCCACATGCATCACACCTCCTTTGCTCCCAGCTGGCACAGACCATGGACACGCTCTCCCGGTTTGATCTTCTATAACTCAATACCATAGCTACATTGCTGAGAAGAAACATTTCATAGGATCATCGCTGATGGCAGCTACTGAGCATCCCACTGTCCTGAGCTCGAGCATGCAGAGCCATTCCCCAAGTGTGTACTTGGAGGGTCTCAATTTTGTGCCTTGAAGAGTAGTACTACAATTGCTGTGTAGACGTCATTTTTCCTTCCTTGCGGTGTATTTCCTTAGCCTCTCTAGCCCTTAGAGTGACCTCTGATATCTGGAGACTGTGGCACTGCAAGCCTATGACTAGGCCATTCCTTTAAGCCCAGAAGGCGACTGACAAATGGGGAAGCCAAGCAGACTCTGTGGCCTCTTTGTTATGCCCATGCTTCATTCATTTAAAGGTTTGCAGAGTGCCTCTCCTGGCTGAGCAGGAAGATATAGAGATGGAGGGGCCAGACATGGTTCTTGCTCTAACAAAAAGAGCCCCTTCTGGTGTGGAAGACAGGCCTGTAAGAATCAATTATAAGAGAATGTAACAAATGCCAGAGCAGTCTATACAAAAGGACGAGGAGGACACAGACAGCACTGGCTTCAGAAAAGGGATGGGCTGGGCTCGGTTCTGCCTTGTTCAAGATAAGGAGTGGGAACAGAGGCAGCGCACCCTGGCGCAGCAAACGGTACCATGAGCTAGGAGGGCGCTGGAGCTTCTGACCTCTGTGGATGTTGGGGCTGTCTTCCTAAGATGCTTGGTCCAACCTTTTTTTTGCTTAACTAGGACCACAAAGTGTCCAAAGTTCCTGGGAATTCTGTGACTACAGAGTAAAGTGGAACCAATCACAAAACTCAGGCCTGTGCCCGTAGCACAGCTGGAAGAATACCTTATTAAATCCTTCTCTATCCTGTGCTCATTTCAGTGGCACATATACTAAATACTCCTCCATCCTTCCTGCCTGCCTCACCTTCTACGGCTTCCCGGCGTTAGCAGGCTAAAGTCTGAACTTTTGGACCAGACATCTTCTCCAGTTTCCTTTCACCCACATCCTAACCACAGAAGTCCAGGAGCTCTTCCCCAAAGACACCATGGGTGTGGACAGTAAATTCACTGGGCCCTGGCTCCACCAGCCAGAATGCCCTCCTGCTTTACCCAACACACACACACACCCCCCCTCAACCTCCAAGCTTCACAGAATGTGACTGCTACTGGGGTACCTGCCCTGACCCTACGGCTCCAGCTAGAATCTCATGCTCCCTCCTCCTTCATTACAGTAGTTACCATACTCGTTTATAGTGAGGGAATGGCAGACAGAGTAAGGATGAAGAAGAAATAGATAACACATCTTGTGAAACAGCAAAGCACTGTGCTAATACTACCTAGATTAAAGAAATGATTGCTTTCTTGGTAGTATGTAAATATTTGACACATAACCAAGATTTATAAGTCACAGAAACAGTATCTTGACTCCTCCTTTTGATTCTAATAATCTGACAAACTGGTTTGCTTATTTATATCACTACCCCACTCAGAAAAATGGAGTTCATGTTTTGAAACCTACAAACAAACAGAAAATGTTCTCTTTCCAATAATCCTCCAACCCCCATTTGGTTCATGATGTTGGACCATGATGTGCACCTATAACCTAGGGTTACTTACCGGAGGCTTTGTCGCCACAGACCACACAGTACTCTACCACTTGCGGCCGCTGGACGTCGGCCTTACCCAGCAAGCGCTCCACAGAAGCAGAGTCCGTGACGATCTAAGAAGAATCAGGAAACAAGCAAAGTGCTGGTTAAAAACCAGATCGTTAAACAAACTAATGTTTAACTATAAATTCCTAATCTTGGTTTCTAAGCAGGAAAACCCTGGGCAGAACTGGGAAAATCCCACCTGACAGCTTACCCTGATATCCAGAATGGCCCTGTTGCTTACCTAGACAGTGCCCCTTCAGCAGTGATGGTAGCGGCGGGGGGGGGGGGGGCGGTTTGTCCAAGGTCAGGCACTGGTTTTTACTCACTCTCCTATCTGGCTAGCAAATTGCCCAGGATGGGGGGGCCATGTGGAGAATCACATGCAGATGCTCCAACATGAACATACTGCAGGTCTTTCTGGCTCCTTCTCTATTCCCATGAAACAGCTTGGAATGTATGCTGAGAGGCATATTTGGCAGAGAAAGAATCAAGCTTTTTTTTTTTTTCCCCCCAAGATTTTATTTATTCATTTGAGAGAGAGAGAGAGAGAGCAAGCAAAAGCATGAGCAGGGGGGAGGGGCAGAGGGAGAAGCAGGCTCCCTGCTCAGCAGGTAGCCCTATGTGGCGCTTGATCCCAGGACCTTGGGATCATGATCTGAGCCGAAGGCAGACACTTAACCTACTGAGCCACCCAGGTGTCCCAGAATCAAGCTTTATTAATTAAATAACTAGGTCTCTCCTTGAGGCAGCTGGGAGTAGAAGGACTAGAACAGGCGACCTCTGAAACCTGTTATTTCTCCTTCACTTGCAGCTGACTTTCTAGGTGACAGTGTTACTCATCTGGAAGAATACTGTAACTGACACCAATATGAGAAAGTGAAAAATAGCTGTTATTAAATAATGTATCAACAATAACCCTTACAATTATTTCTGTATGGTGGGAATATATATAGAGATTGCTATGTAGAATGACCTCTTATAAAACATGCAACAAAATCCACAGCCACCTTCTCATGAACAACATAAAAAAGCAGGGAGGAATTTTAATTTCAGTTGGTCAGAATGTACTCTGGGAAAGGAGGCAGTATTTACTAACTGCACTATGAGGAGTCTCAAAAGTGCAGTTCTGAAAGCTGAACATCACTTGTGCTCTGAACCCAGTCCTATCAGAAGAAAAAACATCCTTTCTTTTCCTTATTTTTCTCCATAGTAGAAAGTTCCTCCCCACTCAAAACACATGGATTCTTAGCAGCATTATTCACAAGAGCCAGAAGGAAGAAGCACCCCAAACATCCAACAGATGACTATATAAGTAAAGTGTGGTCTATACATACAGTGGAATATTCTTCAGCCTTAAAAAGGAATGAAATTCTGACACAGGCTACAACATGGATGAACCTTGAGGACATTATGCTCAGTGAAATGAACCAAATGCAAAAGAAAAAATATTGTAGGGTTCCACTTATGTGAAGTCCCTAGAACGGCCAAAGTCGTAAAGACAGAAAGGAGAAGGATGGTTGCCAGGGCTGCAGGGAGAGGAGAGACCCAAAGGCAGCAGTTCACAGGAGCAGGTAAGGACAGAATGAAGAGCTGGGACCAGGCCTGACGATCTGGAAAAGATGAAGTGAGATTTAGGAACAAGTCAGTCCTCATCTGGCTGTGGACAGCCCTAGGTGGGGCCCCTAAAATATCAGGGCCAAGAACTGCCACCGTGCAGCCTTAGGTTAGTTAGAACAATTCTCCAGTGGCCTTAGTACCAGCTTGCTCATGCCAGTCTCCTGTGGGCCACTGACTGTCCTGGCTCAACTTCCATCGCATCTGAGCACTGCAGCTGACTGCCTCCTGGGCCTTGCCGCTCACTTGCTGGTTTTTTACTTTAGCCAAAGCAGCAACCTGCCATACTTGTAGGTCCTCAAAGGACCTTCTAGAGATGGATTTGGCCTTCAAGGCAGAGGAAGAGTCACAAACCAATTTGGTAGCAGAAGTGCTGAAAGGAATGCCTGTCAACAGCCTTACCTGGATCCTGCCAGGGACAAGGTTGTCCGAGGTGGTGAATATGAGCTGCTTGGCACTGGATGTCTCCGGGGAAGCCAGGATCACCTTCCCAGTTCCAGCTCCATCTGGGCTGGTCAGGATGAACTGCTGCTTGGGGGATCCGGAGGCGTCCACTGCGGTGACTATCTGGATCTTCTGTCCTGTCTGCTGGTCTGTTACAATCTACAAGACACAACATGGAGGCTGCTCTCACGGAGTATCATGCAACTCGCGTACTTGCAGGTGGTGCTCAAAGTGGTGATTGCCCAGTGCCGTCCTGGAGTCAATGCTGGTCCAAGATGCAGTTTCACCAGTGCATGGTGAAATGAGAAAAATAAAACACAACCGTGAGCTTTTCAGAAACCAATGTTCATGGAGCTAATTTTATTTTAGGATGATATCATTCCTACTATTTTAATTAAAATGTCCTTTGGGGCGGTGGTGGGGTACTAGATGAAGGTGGTCAAAAGATACAAACTTCCAGTTTTAAGATAAAAAAAGTACTGGGATATGATGTATGGCATGGTGACTGTAGCTAACTCTGCTGTATGGTGCATCTGAAAGTTGTTAAGAAGGTAGATCCTAAGAGTTCTCATCACAAAGAATAAGCCATTTTTTCTTTTTCTTTTGTATCTATATGAGATGATGGATGTTAACTAAACTTAGAGTGGCCATCATTTCATAATATATGTAAGTGAAGTCATTAAGCTGTACACCTTGGACTTATACACTGCTGTGTGTCAATTATATCTCAATAAAATTGGAAAAAGTCCTTTCTTCTGTGAAATGGAGATAATAATAGTAGATGATAAGTTTAACTTAAAAAAAAAAAAAAAAAAGCCTTGTCCTAGGCATAATAAAGTCCAGAGAAGTCCCGACCCTGACTCCTCCAGAGGCTCCCACCGTTCACCATTCAGGGGGCCAGCTGTCGGAGTCCGCCTCTTTCCAGAATCCCTGCCTAACTGCATCAGTTACAATTGAAATAGTTGCTACAGCAAGAGGGACTTGTCATTCCTGCTCCTGAAATTCTCTGAAGCTGTTCTACTCCCTGTCCTGCCTTCCTCGAGGCCGAGTACCCAGCTTTGGAACACTGCCCACCTTCTCCCTGGGGCACCAGCAGGCCCTCACAGCAAATAGGATTCTGGGGGCTGTTGTGGCTGGGCCTTGGATAAGGGGAGAGGTACTACATCTCTAGCTGGAACTCCCTTCCCTCTACCATATTTATGGGCAGGTCTGGCATCCGTGCTACATCTTGACAGATGCTGACTTGTGACACAGCATTCCGAAGTTCAGACAGCAAACTCACAAAGAATCTAGCACAACAGCTTTGCCAACTATCCAATATGGAAAATCAGACAATGCTGGTTAGTTAAAAAAAAAAGACGACAAAGATCCAATCACTTCATTATGTTTACGGAGTGTCCACTATATGTCAAGCTCTGTTCTTTGTACTAGGGATAGGGACATGAACACAACAGAGTTCCTACCTCGTGGAGTTAACCTTATATGGGGAAAACAGACCATGAACACTGATATTGTAGAGTATCGGTCATGGTAGGTATCATAAAGAATAAAAGCAGAGTAAATGGACAAAGCATGTCATGGGGAAGGAGGCAGGGGGGCTGCTTTAGAAAGAAAGATGTCTCTGATGGAGGTGATGTTGAGCAAAGACCTGAATGAAGCAAGAGAGGAAGTCATGCAAGTATGTGGCAAAGTATTTTACAGGCTGAGGGCACAGCCAGTTCAAGACCAGAAAGAGCAGACTGGGAACAGAAGATGCATGAACAAATCCTTAGCTGATGGTGGTGCATGAATCCCAGCATAGCATCATTTGCAACTGATCAAGGTCAAAAGATCTTGAAGGCTGAAGAATAGATGTAGAGAACGAAAGGAAGTACCTTTCATTGTTACAACCTGTGGCATACACACTCAGAGTCCCCTGGAAAAGTACAACATGAGACAGAAAACTTTATAAGAAGAATTCTCTTACACTTTCCTACCCAATGCTGAACTGAAAGACTGCAGACAGACTGGCTGACACACACTTCTCTCAGCTGCCACAGAAGGGACTCCTACCTTAGTTAAAAGGTAACAAGCTGGCCTTTGGAAGGCCCTTATAACCTTGAGATCTGGGAGTAAAATGTCTGACTTCCTCTTCATGTCTATCAAAACTTATCTACTTCCTAAATTACCTTCCCTGTTAACAAATGAAACAGTCATGTGATTGAGAGGGCTCTCCAATCACCAGCTATAACCAAGGCAAGGCTAGTCGAAGTCCTCCATGTGTTCAGAGGTAAAACACTCTGCGCCTGAGTACACACAGTCACTGGCATGTCACCACCTTTGATGCTATTCCCCAGGCCTCTTGGTCGAGACATGGCAGGTATGGGGCTGGGGCAGGGGTGGGAGGTTGGAGTAACTGGGTCCAGCTGCTCTTGGTGGCTCTATGTAACATATCCCAAAGCTCAGACTATTCTTTTCTTTTTTCTCCTAAAGATTCAGGCTCACAAAACCCCAGGATGACCCTCAGGCAAACAAAGGCCTTGCTGACAAATATCAGCAGGCAGATACATGTTTAATGACACCAAGGAAACATCAAATTGAGGATGTATCCAGACTTATTAAATCTCTCAAGGAGGGGTGGTGAAAAGGTGCTGTTGGTAGAATCATGACCCCCCCAAAAGAGATGGTTACATCCTAACCCCCCAGGGCCTGTGAATGCGACCTTATTTGGAAACAGGACCTTTGCAAGTGTGATCAAGTTGAGTCCATAATGGAAGAGGGTGGGCCCCAAATCCAGTGACTGGTGTCCTTACTAGCAGGCCTGTGATGACAGAGGCAGAGACTGGAGTGCTGCAGTTGCAGGCAAGGAACACTGAGGATTTCCGGTCACTACCAGAAGCTAGGAAGGCACAGAGGGATACTTCCCTAGAATCTTAGAGAGAGCATGCCCCTAGCAAATACCTGAATTTGGGCTTCTGGGCTCCAGAATTGCGAGACAATAAATTTCTGTTGTTTTAAGGCACCAAGTTTGTGGTAATTTGTTATGGCAGCCCTAGGAAACGAACATAAGAGGCAAACTTTATTTAATCTCTTCACTTGGAACAAATGTTCATACTCTCTGCTTGCAAACAGTAACAAATGGGGGGAGGGGAAGAACCTAAGGAGGAATGTCTTGTTTTCTCTGTGATTTTTTTTTTTAAGAGAGAGTGTGAGCAGGGAGGAGGGGCAGAAGGAGAGGGAGAGAGAGAATCTTAAGCAGGCTCCATGTTCAGCACAGAGCCCAACACAGGGCTTGATCCCACGACCCTGAGATCATGACCCGAGCTAAAATTGGACGTTTAACTGACTGAGCCACCCAGGTGCCCCTCTGTGACTCTTAAGGCCTTCCAAGGCTGGCTACATGGTTAGTACTGCTACAACTCTTGTTTTGAAAAGGTACATTTGTTCCAGTGTGACTGATATATTAGGGACTATTCTGTGCATAATATAAATCTTGTGTTTATGCATGACTTCTCCTGAGAAACAGTACACACACAGAGAATGACCCCCAGGTGAAGTGAGCGGAGTGGGAATAGCCAGCTCAGTGCATGTGGTGTTACAGCTTTCCCTGATTTCAGATCACCCCACTCACAGCAACTCAGGAGCTACAATCCTCCCACACATCCCCTCCACAAGCAAGCTTCAGGTCTCTTTCAAGGAAAAGTGCCATATTTATGGTCGTCATTATGTATTTCTTAACCATTTAATGTATGTAAAACCACAATTTAAATCAAATCAAATTCATACCTGCATTTTAATGTGTCACCAACAATTTCTGAATATTATGCCACTAACCCCACATACCCCCATAAGCCCTGTGGTTTCCACTGTAGAATTTTGCACAGTATGGGAATTTTTAGGACACATATGTCACATTATAGCAGAGATGACTACATACTCTACTGGCCCAAGGCCCTCTCTACTTCTACCCCAAAAGGACCTCAAAGATCTGACTTACTGCCATTCTCCTCCATGTTACCCACTCTCTGTTCCAGCCAAGCTGGGCTCATCATTCATGCTGTAAAGAAAAGTCTGCAAATGGACAGCCTGAAGGCAAAAAAACAGCCACTGGATAACTTTTGCTTGACCTCCCAGAGTTTAAAATTTAAAAAACTGGTTGGCACTACCTGAGGATAGAGCATTTACCATAAAAATCAGATTTACAGTTCTTTTGACAAGCTGTCCCCATCCTTGCCCCCAAGTTCCCCTGTGGTTATCAACTGGCTGTGTGTGGTTGCTCCTTTGGATGGGGCACGGGTGCTCTGTTTGGCCCTAATTCCCACCCTGTCCACCTTCTTCACTGCCAGCTGGTCCTGTAAACACAGGTTTGTGATCCTGAAATAGGGCTTTGCAGCTAGAGCTGTGAATGGAATGCTCATTCTACTGCTTCCCAACTGGGTCACTGTGGAACAGTTATATGTGCTTTCTGAGACCCTGTTTACATACCTTTAAAAAAGAATTATTACATCTGAAGGCAGTTGGTACGAGCCCCAGAATATAAGGGGACCTTGCTAAAAATATTTCCTGCTCTAAGCTCTCACATACTTGTCTCCTCATTCAGAAGCCTTTTTTACTCCTTTCATCTCATTGAATCTCTCCCTCCGACTTCGGCTCACTCATTCATTCCTCAAATGCTTACAAAGGGTCTACTCTATGCCGGGCACTTTGCTAGATTACAGGCATGATGGAGATGGCAGGAGCTCTCGTGAAGCTTCTAAGTTTAGTGGAAAAGTGGCAAAAGACAAGTAAACAGAACAGCCAATGAACAATTTATGATAAATGTTATGAGGGAAAAGATCTGGCTAGAGTAGGAGAGAGTAACACAGGCACTTAACTTTTTAGAAAGAGAGGTCAAGAGAGGTCAAGGAAGGCTTCTGTGTCAAGGTGGCATTTAACTCAGGATTCAAGGCTAAGAAGGGAGTCAGATAAAGGTTTAGGGAAAAGTGTGTTCCAAGCAATGGGAAATGTTCTGGCATATGGAAAGCCCTAAGAGGAAGGAACTCTTAGAACTGACATCAGGCCTATGGACAATGAAGAGTGGCCCAGGAACCTAGTGAGGGAGGTGGGCTGGCCCTAGTGGAAGTCAGGATTTCATTCCAAGTACAAGAGCCGCTCAGGGGTTTTGCCCTCCTAAATCAGGG